GGGGGGGGGGGGGGGGCGAGAACCAGCTGCAAAAGCGACCCCGAGGAAGCAAACCCCCCTTTGCCAGGCAAAGGGCTCTCCCAGGAATAGGGGTCTACAGTGGGGCTGGGGGGGGGGGCTCCCCAGTGCAGCCACCCTGGGAACGGGGAGCAAACAGCCACGCAAAGTGCAGACGAAGCCAGAGCCAGGACAAGGGCTGCGAAACAGAGCCCTTGGCCGGGAGCAGCAGCCCTTGGCCGGGAGCGCTGGCTGGGGGCAGCGGAGCTTTTCCTGGCTCCCCTCGAAGCGCAGCGCTGAGCTCATGGCCGCTCCGCAGGGATGCTCCGCTCTTGCTCAACTCCCCCCCAGCGGGACCCGGGGAGCGGCTGTGGCCAAGGGCCGGCTCCAGGTGAAGCTGCGCACCGAGGGCCGAATCCTGCCTCGGGCTGAGCATCTCCTCCAGCCCCCAGTGCCTCGCTGGCATCAGCCCCACTTGTCCCAGATACAGGGGCTGGGGGAGATTAGGGACTACACTCACCCCCCATCCCCGCGCGTGGGACAGTGGGACCCTCTTGTGCATCCCTGCAAGCCTGGGCTCAGCCCAGCTCAGTCCCAGGGTAGGCAAGTCCCCCCCTTTCAGCAGGGCAGAGGGAGCACCCAGATGGCACCTCTGTCCCACAGGGCTGAGCCGTGAGCTGTGCCAGCGGCCTGTCCCTGTCCTGCCCCGAGCCAGGGCTGCAGGCTTGCACACAGCCGCTCACCTACAGCCTCTCGTCCTCTCCAGGCTTTGCACTCCCAGCCCCACGGTCACTCAAGCTTGGGGAGGGTTCTCCCACCCCACAGTGCCACCAAACCTACCACAGAACACCCTCAGCCACTAACCCTGCACCCCAGCAGGGAAAACCTCTCCCCAACAATACGAGCACCAAGAAACCCCAACAGCTTCTTCCTATCACCATATTAATCCTGCCCAGCCCTTCCCACACCCACCAGTGCTCCCAGTCCCAAGAACACCTGCCCTAGCTGGGCTTTAACCCCTTCCTTGCTGGGGGTTAAAGCACAGCAAAACAAGGGTAACCGCTGCGGCTTGGAGGCTGTGCCCATCCTCACCCGCTCCCAGCAAGGGGGATAAATCCCCGGGTGTCCTGCTGTGTGCTGGCACAAGGCACCTCCGAACAAAACCCCCTGTGCAAACACAGCCTCCTTGTTTAGACCGTTAGGGCATCTCCTCTGGCTGCCCGAAAATAATTAGTCAGCCTCGTTAGGAGAGCAAACAAATGAAGATGGGCTGGCAGGGAGGCCTCGCAGCGTTCGTTTCCAGGAGACTTGGCAGGGCAGAACGGCAAACGCGACCCTGCCGCACGTGAAAAGCCTCATCCAGGCGGTGACCCTCCACGCTCGCCCAGTCAGCCGCGACGGGGGCTGCTGAGGGGCACCTCCGTTACGGGCTGTGAGGCACAATTATGAGATATTAATATCAAGCTTCCTCGGCAGCTGTTGCGTGCCAAAAGCGACCCGACAGCTCTCAGCCTGCTGCATCGACAAGGGGGCTCGGAAGAGACAAGGAGGGCACAGGCGGGCATGGCGCAGCTGCAAGTGGCTTTGCTGTGAAAGAGAAATAGTAGAAAGTATGTGGGTGCTGGCAGGGATAGGACATGGCAGACAAAAAGCTGTGTCTGGGTAAAAGGAGGTGGAAGGAGCAGTGTTACAGGGGTGAACGGGACCTGATGTGCCCCCAGTCTGGAGCTGAGACCTGACAGCTCATCACAGCGTGTGGATGGGCATGGTGCCTCACCAACTGCCTGCCAGCGCAACTCAGCACATCCCTGCTGGCAGCCACGCTGGCACAGCCCAGGCACTGCTTGCTCCCCGTGCTCGGGGCACTCAGCACCAGGCGGCCGCACCTCCCGTCCCCGAGCCCAGCTCCTGGCCCCACTGAGTCCAGGGACAGATTTGGAGGCCTCAGGAGGTGACAAGCCCAATCTGTGCCCCCCCTGCCAAACCTGCCTGCCTTCCCCTGGCTCACCCCACTGCACATCACAGACCATAGGTGCTTCGTTACTGTCATTAAGCTTTTATTTCCACTGTCACAAAGTTCCTGGGTTTTGTTTCGTTTTCTTCTGGTTTTAAACTGTTTCGTTTGCTTGGTTTGCTCTTGATTTCATCTCAAGACAAGGCAGCAGGGCATGCAAGCCGAGACACCGGCACGGACACACAAACATCTTTACAAACAAGGCTCTTTGCTGGAGCTGCTGTTTCACAGCCCAGGGCTTGGCTGCCCCCCAAGACAGGGGTTCTGTGGGACATGGCACCCAACCCAGGGCTGGAGGCTGCAGGAGCAGAGAGAGAGAGAAGAGAAGGACGGTGCTGATGGAAGAATGTGACCGAGACCCCAAAATTGCTGTGCAAAGAGACCCCCAAGCTGCTGCACTGAGACCAGGGTCAGCAGCTCCCTCCTTCGCCCCCAGCCCTTGCTCCTGCCCCAGCCGGCCCCCTGCCCTCCAACACCCCCATGAAGGTGGGGCGGCTGATGCCCTCCCAAAGCGCCCCACATCTCCCCCTTTGCCCTGGGGCTGGGGATGATGGGACAATGAGCAGGCTGCGGGGCACCCACCCACCCCCACCAGACACCCCCAACCCTAAATTTATGGAAAGAGGGCAGCTCTGCCAGCGATTTCAGCTGCCCCCACGCCACACCTGGACCTGCTTCAAAGCCAGCCCTGCTCCAAGGGGGCTCAGCCCCAGACCCCCCAGACCCCTCCATTCTCCAGGTTAGCGCAGGTGGTGGCAGACCTGCCCACTCAGGGGGAACAGTGGCTCTGGGATGGGGGTCCCACAGCCTCAGCCCTCTCCCATCCAACTGGGATGCAGTGTCCTGATGGCACGGGGGGCAGGCGCCGGCAGGCACCAGCTTCTGCGCAGTCAGGATGCAGCTGGTACCTGGCACAAATGGGGGCTGGGGTCCCCCAGAAGCAAACAGCCACACCATGAATCTGGTGGGGAGCACTCCCGGGGACCGCCTGGTCTCATTACAAATTGAAGCAATTAAAGGGATGCTCCGGAGGAAAAACTCACTTCGCTTTTCTCTCTCTCAGGTCCTGGTTTGTGCCGTGATGAGAGGGGGGGGTGGAATCTGCCCCCAGAGCCTTCTCCCACGTCCTTACTCTCCTCAGGGAAACAGCTCAGCCCAGCCCAGCCCCAGAGCTCAAGGAAAGACGGTTACAGAGCAGCAACAGTCAACGCACGAACAGAAAAATGAAAAGAAAGGAAAGCACAGACACGGCATTTTAATGGGGCAACACCGACAGGGACAAATGAGAGGTGGGGGACACACACGCCGCAGCCACCGGGGCCGACCCTCGCCTCCGCCTGGCTGCACTTCCATCCCCTTCCCATCGCCAGGGCTGCAGCCACCTTTATTTCACAGGCATGAGAAACCCGAATATAAACAGAAACAAATCAGGTCTTGTCAGCTGTTTGCTTTTAATAATGAGCAGGTGTATAAAGAAGATCGAAATTAATTATTCTCCGATGTAAACTCCGCCCCAGCGGTTCACGCACTGCTCCCGGTGCTCCACACGTGCCCGACATTCGGTGGGTCCTGCCAAACCCTCATGGTCGCAGCCGTGAGCTGGACCCAGTGCTCGTGCTCCCCTGGGCACAGGCGTCGAATCGCTCTCTGGAGAGGGGATGGCTCACCCAGGCCGTTTCACTGATGGGGAAACGTGAGGCACGAGGAGGTTAAGGCCAACATTTCCAAGCGCAAGATGCTTCAAGCCTGATTTTCAGCGGTACCGAGAAGCTGCAGATCCTGGTGATGTTCAGGAGTCAGGGGCTCTCAGTTCTCCCCAAAAGGAGCCTGCAAGCATCCAAGCCAGGGTCCCAAATCCACAGCCAGGGGGGAATACCAGGGCCAAAACGATTTGCTTGGGGACACTCAGCATGGCCAAGCAGGGCAGGACAGACCCCATGCTGGGACCTGCCATGGGGCTGGAGCCAGGGCCCAGGACAAGAGCCAGCCTCGAACTCACAGGACGGGCTTCTGCCCAGGAAAGGATGTCGTCGTCACCGAACAGAGTCCTCACAGCTGGCACACAGCTCTCAAATACAGGCCAAACCCTTTTGTCCCTTTTGCTCCTTTTTCTTTTTTTTAGTGTGCAAATATTTAACAAGGGGCAAGGGAGGATGAGGCATGGGGCTCCACCCCTGAGCCCGCCAGCAGCAGCAGCAGCAGGGGGTTGCTGGCAATGACAGCAGCACCTGACACTGAATTTTGGGATTTCTGGGGTCTGAAGCTCTCTCAAGCTGATGCTGGTCACTCACCCCACCCGTGACGGGGGCCGCATACCCCGCTGCTGCTGCTCCAGGGCTGCCTCCCTGGTGAGATGTCAGCGAGCACTGATGGAGCGCAAACCATGGCAGGTCCTCTGAAAATTAAAAGCCTTTCAGGGGGAAGTGTCAGAGCAAATGATGTTTGCCTTTGCCTGGGAATTGTGTCAAACGTCGCAGGGTCCATCATTCATCAGCGGAGGCGATTACAGCAGCGTCACATTCATTGGGAACATTGATTGGCACTGGGAAGGGACTGGTCTGGCAGACAAGCGTTAGAGAAGTTGGAGGCACTGCAAAGATCTACCCAAGAGAGTTGCATTTTGGCCACAAAGCATCAAGGAAATGGAGTTTCCATGAGAGGGAGCGAGGTGACACCCTCCAGGAGCCCCCCACAATGAACCACGGGCACCCTCAGGGGCAGGAACCACAAAAGAGGCAGAAATATTGCACGTGGACCTGAAGTTGGTCTCCTTGGGGATGGGGAAGGGCAGTTTTTTATGGGCATCAGAAAGTGCCACCAGCGCACGACCCTGAAACTGGGAAGCGGGGCCGTGCAGCAAAGGACCAGCACCATTTGCCCAGAGATCTGTCCCTGCCATCGGGGGACGATTCAGACCCCGCTGGGGCACCGTCCTGTCTCCTGCATCGCGGGACACCTGTGAGAGTGTCCTCCACGTCCAGCCATGACCTCCTGCTGCCGTGGGGACGGTCCCCGTGGCCAAGGGCTGTGGGCACTGGCCGGGCTCGGCCGTGGGAGCTGCAGGTGTCCCAGTGGAGAGCGGGGCAGAACGGGGATGGAGCGGTGAGCCTGGCAGAGCAGCACGGGTGCTGCTGGGCCAGGAACAAACCGCACCAGAGCAGGAGGGGGTTGCATCCCTGCTGGCATTAGGGGTCCTGGGGGCATCTTGCACTGTGCCCCCGAGGAGGTACAACTCTCTCCTTCCCCAGAGCAGGGGCCAAGGCAGATGGAAACTGAGCTGCGGCAGCATGCGCCCGACGCTCGTCCTCCCGCAGAGACACCGCTGTGTCCCCCGGTGCGTGTCCCGGCGGGGCTGAGCCCTGCTTGGGCACATCCCAGTGCCACAGCGGGTGATGGAGTGGCCACGCAGACACTGCTTGTGGCCGGGGGGGCCATTTCCAAGCCCCACACTCGGGCGTCTCCAGGTGCGTTTCCCCAGCCCTCCACCTCCCCCAGGGCGGGCACAAGTGGCTCCACTTTGGGGCCATGCTCTTGGCTTACAGAAAAACCTGTCACGTCCTAAACAAGGAGCAAGGGGATGAGGAGACACCCCGAGCTGCGCGTCTCCCAGCCCGGCACCCCCAAGGCAGGAGCTGCCACATCACCCCAGCGGGGATGGGGGGACGGAGCGAGCTGTCCCTGCGGGCATCCCCTCCGCTCCCCTGGCCCCGCTGGCACATGGGCTAATCCACCCTGGGGTGACAACAGACTTTCCCACCGTTTGCAAAACAGAAAATATTAAAAGAATACTGACTTGAAAGCAAAACCCAACTCTCAGCTCCATTAGTATTTTTTCATGCAGTGAGAAAATGAAAGAAAATAAAAAGGAAATAAGGATGTTCTGGTGCCCGGTGGCTTCCTCGCCCTGCCCGACTGAGAGATGGAGTGGACTCGATCTGCTCGGAGCTTGGGCTGAGTGAGCCTTGGCTGAGCTTGCAAAGACAGAGGTGAACAGAAAAATGCAGGGAACAGGGGAATGAGAAGAGGAGGAGAAGCTACAGCATCCCCTTAAAACAGCAGCCAGCCCACGGAGCTTGGGATACAGGGGGTGGGAGGAGAGGGAGGAAGGCAGATTTTTGGCTTCATTGTTATTGCAGGCTCCCGGTGCCCCGCAATAGTGTACGAGCATGTAAACCTTACATATCATCACCTAGGTGGTTGGACACACACACAAGAGACTAAACACGGCAGCAACATTTACAACAAATAAATAAGGATATCGATCGTCGAGACAGGCATATAAAAAAAGCCTCACTTTTTTCCACTGAAGGAAAAAAAAAAAAAAAAAGAAAGCACAATACTGTCTCACCAAAAAGAAAAAAAAATTATAATAATATATATCCCTAGTGAGCCGGGCCAGGCTGCCAGTGGCATCGCAGGTGACACCAGGACTGTGTTCCCAATCGCTGTCGGTGCCTCGGCTCCCCAGCCGCCCCACGCAGGCAGCACCCCGGGGTGCGCGGTCCCCCGGTACCTTTGGGATCCATCTCCAGCTGGCTGGTTCCCAGGAGAGGACCATGCCAGCGCCAGCGCATCTGCAGTCCCATCCGAAAACGTAGCAAAGAGGGAGCAAAGAGGGCGAGGAGGCCGGGGTGGGGCTCTGCCTTTGGAGATGCTCAACCCGTTCCCCCGGCCCTGAAGTCTCGGGCGATCGCTGCCGCTCAGACCGGGGTCTGTCGCGGGTTTTTTTTTTTTTTGAAAAAGCAGAAGTTGGCAAATGGCAGCGGCTGGTTCAGAGTGCAGAGAGGGGGAGTGAGCTCGCGCTTCGAGGGCATCCTTTGCTCGCAGAACAGAAAGGAAGGCCAAGAGGGACAGGCAAGCTTCGCGCGGCGGTGGTCGGATGGCACGGAGAACATCTTCCCCCAGGCATCTGCAGGAGAGGTGGGGGAGAAGGAAAATCAGGTGAGGAGAATGGGCAGAAAACCCTGCAGCCATCTCGTGTGACACTAGCTGGAAGGGCAAAGCTAGAAACACAATAAAGATTTTGAAGTAGCCCAAAACTCCAGCAAGGTTAAAAAAAATAAACCCATCATCCGTGGCTGGATGCTGCCTGGACTGCAATGACCAAAGTCATTCCAAGAGACATCTCTGCATGGCCCCGTGGGGCATGGAAAGGGCCAGAGGGTGCTCAGCTCAGCACCCCCAGGATGCTGCGAACCACAGTGTCCCCGACACCGCCCTGCCAAACCCTGTCAGCTCTGGGGCATAATATAATAAGATATAATATAAATAAAACGTTTAATATAATCTCCCTCCAGAGTATCCCCATGCCCCAAGCACGCCAGCTGCCTCCCTGCCTCCCTCTGCAGCTGCATCTGCAGGAAAGAGCATGAGTTGTGCCGCAGGCAAACGCCTGCCAGCTGGGCAGCTTGTACTGCACCCTCGTGGGCTGCGGTCCTGGGGTGCTCTGTGGGACGGGGAGAAACCCATCAGTATGGGGGTAATATCCCCCCCAGCTGGACTGGGGGTGGATGTCCATGCTTTGACATCCACGAGCACTCACCGCCGCTCGGCCCCGGGACTATACGAGCCCGTCGTAGAGGGAGAGAGCCTGCACGATGGAGGGGTCGGCCTTGGAGCCCTCCTGAAACTCCTGCAGCGTCAGTTTCCCGTCTGCGTTCTGCAAAACACTCCTGTGGCAGCGCTGCTTTGCCCGGAGATGCTGAGCACCCCAGGGAACCCACACCCTCCCGCACAGCCACCCGGGTCCCCACACCGCCACAGCCCCGGTTTCCCCATCAAACCACCCACACCTGCAGCCAGGGACGGGTGCCACGGAGGATGCAAGGACATCTCAGGGACCTTGAAATGGATACAGGGATCCCGGAGGGATGAGAGGGTCTGGAGCAAGCCCAGTGGCAGCTGAGACCGTGTATTGGCAGGGGAAGGAAGCACCAGCAAGAGCCAAGAAGCAGAAAGAGGGCCCACAACCGCCTCCTAAATCCCTTGGCCCCAGGACAAAAAAAACCCACTTGAGCAGCCTCACCTTGTCCATCATTGCAAAAATCCGATCCACCCTCTTCTCTGGTGTGTTCTCCTCCTCGGGAAGCTCCACCGTGTTTCCCTGCAGCAGCAGGACGGGACCCAGTCACACACCCGTTTGTGTCCTGCCCAGAGACTGTCCCCAGGCGAGGACACATGCTTCGCCCCTGCCCTCCCCGCACAGGATGGCGCAGAGGGCTGGCTTTGTGCCAGACTGGGACCTGGCCCCAGCCACGACGGGCACAACACCCCCCCCAAGAACCCAGGAATGAAATCAGGGGTGTTTCAGCATCCTCCCCGCAGCCCCCTGCCCACAGAGCCAGGCTCCAGCCCAGCAGAAA